GTGCACGATGTCCAGCTCATGGCAGTACCTGATGGCCAAGGAGAACTGCTGGAGCATCTTGCATGCCATGTCCTTGGGCAGGGCTCCCTGGCACTCAATGAACTCTAGGAGGTTGCCCCGGACTGCAAGCTCCATGACGATGTAGACCTTGCCATATGATGTCTCGAATACCTTGTAGGTCTTGAGTATGGAGCCGTGATTCAGCATGGCCGGAATCTCCATTTCCCGGGGAAGGAATTTCTCCAAGATGTCTTTTGGGGGCTTTCTTGCAGCTGATGATCTTGACCACCACCTAGAAGTTCAGGTGCTCAGAGTAAACAAATTTAACTTTTGTGTACAAGCCCTCTCCCACAAGCATGCCCATGGTATAGCCTCGTCGCTTGAGGACAGCAGCGTTGTGCGTGGCGTCCGGAGCACCTAGTGCCTCTGAGGCTGCCCTCTACATCCCTGTGGGACCTGGGCCAGTGGTGTATTCACTTACGCCCTGGACAGAGAGTCCTTTGGGCTGGCCAGGCCTGCTGTCCCTGCCTCCTTGAGGCCAAGACTCTGGGTTGGGACATTTCAGCGCTTTCTCCCAGGTGACTTCAGTGGGTGAAGTCACAAAGGTAGAGTGCCCTGGGGAAATGAGGCTCTGGCCTGAGGCCCTTGGACTTGGAACCCTGGAAGGCCGGCCAGTGGGCTGGAGGAGACGGGGCAAGCAGAGAGTGGCCTTGCACCTGGCTGGGACCTGAGGTAGGAGGGGGCTGTAGGGGACACATGGGTCTGCCAGTGCTTCCAACCCCAGAGCCAGGACTGCCTGTATGGAGTTGAGGCCAATTCTTGCAAACCAGGGCATCTCAGGAAGGGTTTAATTAGGGGATGATTTGGGAGGTCGAGGTGGGCGGATCACCTGAGGTCAGGAGTTTGAAACCAGGCCTGGCCAAAATGGTAAAACCCCATCTCCACTAAAAGTACAAAAATTAGCCAGGCGTGGTGGTGGGCACCTGTAATCCCAGCTACTCAGGAGGCTGAGGTAGGAGAACTGCTTGAACCCAGGTGGCAGAGAAGTAAGCCGAGATCGCACCACTGCATTCTAGCCTGAGTGACAGAGTGAGACTCCATCTCAGAAAAAAAAGAGGCAGGGGGCAATTAACAAAGGTGGGAGCAGAGTACAGGGAACCCTGAAGGTAGCACAGGCACCCCAAGGTAGTAGCAAACCCTGGCCTGCATGGAAAAGGGTGGGAAGGTCCCTGAAACCCAGAAAGAGTAATATAGACAGAAACACCTTGAGAGAGGTAGTGCCCTTTGGTGGAGAGAGCCAACCTTATTGACCACACGAGTAGGGAGATGTCCCATCCCTGACCTGTTTTTCTTCCCTTCAGCCCTTGACACTGCCCACACAGGCAGCCCTCAGGGTTGCAGAGCAGGCCCAAGAAGGGTGGTGTGTCAAGAGAGTAGAGAGCCTCCTGGCACTGGAGTTTGAGAAGCCTGGAGCCTGCTCTCTCCTTGTAATTCTCTTGCCTCACCTGAACCTTTGGTGGCTTCTTACAGCAGCTCTGTTGGGAGGACAGCAGCAGGAGTCCTGCTCTTGGCTGTGAGTTCCCTCCTGGGGACCTGCCCAGCCCATTGGCCCTGGCTGGGCTCCAGGGCAGATCTGCGGCTGGGTGCCAAAGATGGCACCTGGATGCCACCCTGAGTGCCAGTGGCTGTTCTGAGGACAGTACAAGCAGTAGGGGCAGCACTGGACAGTGGTCATTGTTTCTGCTTGCAGTGGAGCCCCTCTGCTGTGACAGGCTCTGTGTCTAGTACCTGTTCCGGGCCACGCTCTCGGGGAGTAGGAGTCACACGACTATCCTAGTCTTGGATTTGACTTTGGCCTCATTCACTTAGAGTGAGCACCCCTTCCTCAGAGGAGCCAAGTGGAACCCTGGGCCTCTCAGGATTGAGTTGGTAGGGCGGGCTGGATATTGCTTAGACTGGGTTGGGTCCCCCCACCTGCCATGGCCTTTCCCCCTTTTCTCTGCTCCTTCCCCTTCTTCTCCAATCCTGACCACCCCCTGCTAGACCTTTGTGTGTTCTTGGTGCTCCTTCTTCCAGACAGTGTCCTCCTCCTTCCTGCTGGGGACACCCCAACTGCTGTCTCCTTGAAACCAAAAATAATATTCTAAGCCCCCAGCCATGTGAATGGCCCCCTCCTCTCTGCCAAGGGCGTTCCAAAATTAACCTGAAAAACTAGTTCAGGCCATGATAGGAAGTGGGAGTCAGATAGTCCTCATTATCCCTCCTCCCTAGGGGTTCAGACATAGCTAAGCAGTGGTAACATCGACACAGAGACCTGAAGACTGACAACAGACTATGGTAGTAAGATACCAGCATGACAGCAGGCTTGGAAAGAAACAAATATTTTACTGTAAAACAGATTTCTTTCACATATTTTGAAGTGGCTCTGCAAAGCTGTTTCTTGTGGAGAAAATCTACATTCTGTAGAGAATCCCCTTCCTTTTCAAGGCTCCTGAGAGAATTAACTAAAGTATGACAATTTTTATTTATTTTTCTTTTTTTTTTTTTTTTTTTTTTTTTTTTAATTTGAGACAGAGCCTCGCTCTGTTGCCCAGGCTAGAGTGCAGTGGCGTGATCTTGGCTCACTGCAACTTCAGCCTCCCGGGTTCAAGTGATTCTCCTGCCTCAGCCTTCTGAGTAGCTGGGATTACAGGCGTGCACCACCATTCCCAGCTAATTTTTAAATTTAAATCTGTTTTACTGTAAAATATTTGTTTTTTTTTTTTTTTTTTTTTTTTTTGAGACAGAGTTTCACTCTTGTTACCCAGGCTGGAGTGCAATGGCGCGATCTCGGCTCACCGCAACCTCCACCTCCTGGTCTCAGGCAATTCTCCTGCCTCAGCTTCTTGAGTAGCTGGGATTACAGGCACGCGCCACCACGCCCAGCTAGTTTTTTTGTATTTTTAGTAGAGACGGGGTTTCACCATGTTGACCAGGATGGTCTTGATCTCTCGACCTCGTGATCCACCCGCCTCGGCCTCCCAAAGTGCTGGGATTACAGGCTTGAGCCACCGCGCCCGGCTTTTTTTTTTTTTTTTTTTTTTTTTGAGACGGAGTTTCACTCTTGTTACCCAGGCTGGAGTGCAATGGCGCGATCTCGGCTCACCGCAACCTCCGCCTCCTGGGTTCAGGCAATTCTCCTGCCTCAGCCTCCTGAGTAGCTGGGATTACAGGCACACGCCACCATGCCCAGCTAATTTTTTGTATTTTTAGTAGAGACGGGGTTTCACCATGTTGACCAGGATGGTCTCGATCCCTTGACCTTGTGATCCACCCGCCTCGGCCTCCCAGAGTGCTGGGATTACAGGCTTGAGCCACCGCGCCCGGCAAATATTTGTTTCTTTCCAGGCCTGCTGTCATGCTGGTATCTTACTACCACAGTCTGTTGTCAGTCTTCAGGTCTCTGTGTCGATGTTACCATGGCTTAGCTATGCCTGAAATCCTAAGGGAGGATGGATAACGAGGCCTGTCTGACTCCCACTTCCTATCACGGCCTGAACTAGTTTTTCAGGTTAATTTTGGAATGCCCTTAGCCGAGAGGAGGGGTCCATTCAGATGGCTGGGGGGCTTAGAATTTTTAGTAGAGACCTGGTTTCACCATGTTGGCCAGGCTGATCTTGAACTGCTGACCTCCCAAAGTGCTGAGATTACAGGCGTGAGTCACTGCGCCCAGGAGTCTGGCACTTTTGTTTTTAAGTTCTGGGCTACATGTGCAGAACGTGCAGGTTTGTTACATAGATATACACATGTCGTGGTGGTCTGCTGCATTTATCCCCCCTGTCATCTACATTAGGTGTTTCTCCTAATGCTCTCCCTCCCCTAGCCCCCCACCTCCTGGACAGGCCCCAGTGTGTGATGTTCCCCTCCCTGTGTCCTTATGTTCTTTAACAGCCTGTTCTCTCTGAAGCCTGATACCTGGAGGCTTCATCTGCGTAACAAGCTTGGTCTCCATAACCACCTTAATCCAGACAGTCCCTTCTGTTGATTCCAGGTCTTTAGATAAATTCTTTGAACCAACTGCCAATCAGAAAATCTTTGAATCCACATGACCTGGAAGCCCCCCACCACCCCCCACTTTTATTTTGTCCTGCGTTTTCCGACTGAATCAATGTATACCTTACATGTGCTGACTGATGTCTTGTGCCTCCCTAAAATGTATAACACCAAGCTGTAGCCCTACCTCCTTGGGCACTTGTCTACTGGGGCTGTGTCCCAGGCTATTGGTTACATATTGGCTCAGAAGAAATGTCTTAAAATATTTTACAGAGTTGGACTCTTTTCGCTGACACTGTGCTCCAAGGTTCGCCCTGTTGGTGTAACAGGTGAGAGGCGGTACTTGGAGCACTTTTCGCAGGGGGCTGAGCCTCCTCTCTGCCCAACTTTCCTTTCTGCATATGCGGCCTTCCCCTTGCCATTGTGTAGGCAGGTCCTCCAGGGAGCAGGCTTCCCTGCGGTCTCCAGGACCCGGCCTTCGCGGTTAGCTCCCTTTGCCCGACACTCGTTTAGGCCATTCCTGTTCCTTACAGGGTGACCCTCTTCTCCACCCTCAGAACCGGCAGGTCCTCCCTCCTCCACAGCGGTTCGGCCTTTAAAAGACCCTTTAGGGTGCACCTGTGGGCTGCTCACACCTGGGCTTGCAGCTGTGAAGACCCTTGGAGTCCTACCTAGCCAGGTTCCTGCTTCGTCCTCTCCGCTCCTCACCCACGCGACCCCACCCCCATGCCCTGTACTTTTCACTGTCCGTCCTTGTGGTCCTGAGCCCGCCGTCCAGGCCCCGCGTCCAGGGAGGGACCCTACTCCCTTCGAAGGCCCAGCCGCTCCCGCCCCTGCCCCGGCCCTGCCTCTCCGCTTAGCCAATGGCACGTCTCACTCCGTGTAGCCCCGCCCTCCCCTCCGTGCCCGCCCCTCGGTCACCGCCCTCCGCCGTCGCGACCGTAGGCCTCGCCCCCTTCGGGCTCTGTGGCTCCGGCTCCGCCCCCCGCCTTGACGCTCATTGGTCCTCGCCGGCGTCGCGGGCGGGAGGCGGAGCGGCGCGGCGCGGAGCAGAGCAGGACAGCCGCCATCTTGCGCGGAGAAGGTGTCGGAACCCGAGGCTGCAGCCCGGAGTGCCCGCTAGCCCGCGGCCCAGCCGAAGCTCTTTCCCGCCGCCTCTCCGCGCCTCCCCCCGGTCCAGCCCAGCCTGACCCTCCGCCTAGCAAGGTCCCCCGACCCTCAGTCCGGCCCGGTCCGGCCTCCCAGCGGGGTCAAGCAGCCGCCCCGGGGACGATGAACGGAGGATAAATGGTGCCCAAGGCAGACAGCGGTGCCTTCCTGCTGCTCTTCCTGCTCGTGCTCACTGTCACCGAGCCGCTGCGGCCAGGTGCGCCGCGCGATGGGGGCGGTGTGGGGGCGGGGCGGCGAAAGGGTCCGGGGTCGCTCCGGGACCTCCTTTCACCCGCGGCGCCCTCCTGTAGGGGCTGCGCCTGGGACAGGGGCGGGCGGGGCCTGGCTCACGGGCCGCCTGGCACCCGCTTCGGGCGTCTGCTGGAGCTTACCTGGGCTCGCGGCGCCTCGGACTTCGTGCAGCGCTGCTGTCCAGGAGGTTGCCTCTGGGCCCTTCCCAGGAGCTGCGGCGGCCAGGACCTGCGCCTCGGGCGCGCCCTCCCGCCAGCCCAGCGTCTGAGTCGGGCTGGGGACAGCGGCTCTCGGGGGCACCCGGTTTCACAGACGTCCTCCCAGCAGTGGCCTAGTGCCAGCCTCTCAGTCCTGGAAACTCCTCGGCTGGACAGCGGTGACTGTGGCTGACTGTCATTCAGTGAGGCGTTACACTGAAGTCCTCGGCTCACACCCGGTCCAGAGGAGGCACCAGGAGTCCGCCTAGCGTCGTGTGGCCTGCGCGAGCGTCCTGGGAGCAGAGACACCGTCACTGTGCCCGGCCCTTAGGGTGCTGCGTGTATGTGATGAATGAGTCCATGCTTTGGAACTCCCCTCGGAGCTAGTGTGTTCTTAAGTCTGTGGTGGGGAATCAGAACCGTGGCAACCAGGAGACCCTTTTCTACCTATTTCAATGTACCTCTCCTTCCCTTGAACTGCACCAAAAAAATCAAACTCCTTAATGCAGGGCCAATGTATCCATCAGGCAGAGGAATCCTGGTGGTACTTTTAGCGGCCTGCAAATATTACTTTGTTTTTTAAATCAGAAAAAAAAGGAACTTTTAGGTCAAAGAAAATGTATTCATATGTATATTTATATTAATACAGTCATCTTTATACTAATAGAGTGAAAAAGCATGACTCTCAGTATTTCTTAATGGTTATTTAATACTCTCAGTATTTCTTCATGGGAGAAAAGGTCCCATGAAGGCCGAAGTGCCAGGGCCATCTTTTGTGAGCATTATCAAGCCTGGGTGTGGGAGCCCGGGGTATGTGGCCCTGTCCTGTGCCCTAGCCAGGCTCCCAGCCCAGATACACCGCACCTCTTGGCTCTGGGCTTGTGTCATCTGTATGGAATGTCTGCCGCCTCCCTAGTGTCTACCTGGTGGCCAAGGCCCTGACCCACTCTCAACCTGGACAAATTCAGTGATGCTTCTCTGGGCTTCCCAAGTAGACCTGGTTGCTCACTGCTTTTGGCTGCTCTCTTGACAGCGGGATGACTGGTTGTGGGGTAGGCTTGGTAAGAACAGAAGTCAGGAAAAGGGATGCCTGTGGAGGAGGGTATCATATAGACTCTTGGAGGTCAGAGCCGATGGGTTTGTGGGTTCTTGTGATTAACTTCTTTAGAAAACTTGTGTGTACCTGTAGAGAGGTAATAGGTCATAGTTTTCTGATTCCTGAGTCCCAGTTGTGCAGATGAGGTCACTGGGCTCAGAGGTGAGGCCCTATTGTGCCTGGCTTCTTTAGGGTGACTCTGGTTCCAGGCCCAGCATCTCCTGTCTGGGTGATGGAGGTGACTGACGTCCCCAACTCCTTTTTCCTTGCCAGTCTGTTCACATATTCTGCCAATTGGCCAGCAGCAACTGAGAAAGTATCTGTGAGTGCTTGCTGCTTGCCTGTCACTAGGGAATCCAAGTGAAGAGAACAAGCATCTCTCTTTAGGAGTGCCTGGTGTAGAAATAGAGGCCAGGTATAAGTCACTTGTCACGCTCCTGTGTGTTGAATACCCCTGAGTGTGGGGACCCAGAGATGGGTGGAGGTGGTCATCTGTTTGTACCCGTGAAGCAGGGAGGGCGTCCCAGGAGACCTCACACTGAAGTTTGAGTAGGGCGTGGGTGGGTGGCTCTGGTAGAGGGAGCAAAATTATTCTTTTGATTCCATGACTCTCCAGATGAGAACATTGCAGATACCCTTGGAGGTGCCTTGAGTTGCCCTGCAGAACCCAGGGAACTGCAGCTGGCTCCCTGGCTTTGGCTGGGGAGTGAGGGCAGGTCTCTGGGCCGGATGTGTTCCTTCTGTGCCCACATGTGCCTCTTCACACATTCACCATGTGTCTTTCCTGAGAGTGCCTTAGGGATCTGCCTGGCTGGTGATTGGGAGAGGCTGGGGCTACTCTGGTCTTAGTCTGCGTTCTTTCTGTGGGAATCCCAGCCTTAAAAGCATACTTGGGTTTGAGGAAGGCACCAGTCAGAGCTCACTTCTCAGGAGGTTGTCTTCTGACTCTTGCCTGGTGGGGTCCCTGAAGATGAGGCCAAACCACTTGGGCCTCCTATCTGGTTCAGGGCAGGGTGGAAGGCCTTTCATGTAGTTGCAGGGCAGTGAGTGCTTCCTGTATGTGACCTTTCATCCGTGTTTTTTTGTTTTTTTTTTTTTTGAGATGGAGTCTTGCTCTGTTGCCCAGGCTGGAGTGCAGTGGCCTGTTCTCAGCCCACTGCATCCTCCACCTCCTTGGTTTAAGCAATTCTGCCTCAGCCTCCTGAGTAGCTGGGATTACAGGAACAAGCCACCACACCCAGCTAATTTTTCTAGTTTTATTAGAGACAGGGTTTCACTGTGTTGGCCAGGATGGTCTAAAACTCCTGACCTCAGGTGGTCCACCCATCTTGGCCTCCCAAAGTGCTAGAATTACAGGCCTGAAGCACTGTGCCTGGCCCAATTATTTTTTCTTTCTTTTTTCCATCATGTGAGGATACCAATTTTTTTTAAATGCACATTTGAACTTGATTGATTGAAGGTGTGTTATGTGCCAGGCACTGTTCTAGGCACTAACATGTGTTAACTCTCAGGAGGTCCCTGCTAGATGCTATTTTAATGTCATTTGAAGATGCGGAAGCTAAAATCCAGAGCACTCATAAAGCTAAGTGGCTGAGATGAGATTTCATTGTAAGAATCTGGGCTTCCCCGAGTCATGCACCCCTGGCTGGGGCCCTGTGCGCTCCAACTGTGTGTCTCCAGCCCAGCCATAGGAGTACCTCACATTATGCTCTGAACAGTTTCCTTAACCCTAGGTGGAGCGACAGACTGCCTCTGTGTCCTGATGGGTCCCGGGGTCCTCTAGGTGAGGGTACAGATTCTTTTTTTCCTGTGGATACTCCAGTCTGAGAAACAGAACCACCTACCCCACAAATCCCTTCTGTGGTTGGCCATATGACCGCTGATGTGTGTTATAATCACTGGATATGTGATGAGGAAGAAGGGTTGGAGACTACTGCTGAGGTAACTGACAGCGAGATGGTGGGGGGATTTGGAGACCACTGATTGTGATATTGTCTCATTGGCCCTTTCTCCATCTGTGTAGAGAAGGCAGCATCGATTGCTGATTCTAAAACTGTTTTTCTTTCTATCTTTAGTTGTGAAACAAAATCATAACATGAGCCGCAGCTCTATCCATGTTGAACCTACAATACATAGCTGAGAAAAAATTGCCTTCTGAGTGCTGGTGCACCCTGGTCCTTTCCTGGTGGTTGGTGGTCCTGTACAGGGCTTGTGCTCAGCCAGGCCCCTTGGTGAGGTACAGGACTAGAAGGTTGTCTTCCTTCTATTGCTGATACAGCTATCTGGGAGAGGCAAGTCTAAGGTCACACAGCTGGTGTGCACCAGCATGTGGGTTCAGACCCAGGTGGAGCTAGCTGCTAGCTTAGGGTTCTTTCTCTTTTGCCTTCAGGAACCAGGAGGCAGCTGTGCTGAGCTAATAAAATCTCCGGGAGCTGTGAAGTGAACATAGAACTTTGCCTCTGGAGTCCAGAGTTTTTGTTTGTTTGTTTTTTGAGACAGAGTTTCTCTCTGTCACTCAGGCTGGAGTGCAGTGACGGGATCTCAGCTCACTGTAATCTCTGCCTCCTGGGTTCAAGTAACTCTCCTGCGTCAGCCTCCAGAGTAACTTTGATTACAGGTGCACACCACCACGCCCAGCTAATTTTGTATTTTTGGTAGAGATGGGGTTTCAACCTGTTGGCCACGTAGGCTGGTTTTGAATTCCTGGGCTGAAGTGATCCACCTGCTTCGACCTTCCAAAGTTATAGGATTGCAGGTGTGAGCCACCACACCCGGGCTAGAGTCCAGAGTTTTCTTTCATGTGAAGTAGCACAGGGGTTTGGTGAATAGGGAGAGAGTGCATATTTTCATCACAAGACAAAGTGACTGAAGCTCAGAAGGAGCTGGAGAGATGAGCTTGCACCTGGCCTTGGCAAAACCTCCTGAGTTGGGAGTTCTTTCCTCTGTAGCCTGGTACTGTGACACTTTGTAGAGTTTGTCCACTGGTAGATTTGGCTTTTAGGTTTACAGGTCCATCTTTTTTTTTGGTTGGGAAGTGGTATAATATACTTCCTACCTTCACTAACTACTAACTAATGAATTTAACTTTTTTTTTTTTTTTTTTTGACAAAAAGAAACCTTTCATTTGGAAATAATTTCAAACTCAGAAAAGTTGCAAGAATAAAATGAGTGCAAAGAGCACCTGCATATCCTTTGCTGAGGCTTCCCTACTGTTGGTATTTTATCTCATTTACCTTATCCCCCCATCCTCTGTGTGTATGTGCGCATCTGTGTACTCACACACAGTACTTTCCTCTGAACCATTTGAGAGTAAGTTGCATGCGCCATGGCCCTTTATCCTTGTAAATATTAGCCCTTTCGGAGAGCAGAGGCTGCTTCCTCTTAGCCCCACCCCATTGTTCTCACTAATACCTGCTGTGTGCCAAGCCCTGTGTCACATGGGACCGTCTCGAGGGTGCAGGAAGCCCTATTGTTAAAGCCCAGGTTGGCCCAGGTGGAGGCAAGCTGGCATCACTGCATGTCAGGATTATTATTTCAGTTGGTGGTTCCTGTCTGAGGAGTGAAGATTGCTGCCATGGAACGTTTGTGCTGTGTTAGGCTGCACTTTCCCTGATCTGCTTCCCAAGATAGTTTGTGGCCACCCTTTCCTTTCCAGGCACTCCCCAGAGAACC